TTAAGTGTTTATAATTACAAACCTCTTGTGCTTTATATTTGGGTATGTAATACATAGAAAGAATGGGAAGCGTTTTTCAATTGCCAATTCTCAAGTTGTAAATGTCAATTTTTGTCGTTGGCTATTTATTACAATTAAGCATTTAGTCTGGTTGATAAATGTTAGACCTTTCAGTTTTATTGTGTTAGTTATTTCTGTTTTGTTGTGTTACACCTTTCTGTTGTTGTTTTAGATCTCTTAAGGGAGGGAATGTATAGTGATTTTCTACATATTTTTTCTGTTTTTTGTTTTTTTATTTGAAATTAAAACTATGATATTAACATTTTTGAGATATCTTTCTTTTTTAGCCAGGCAGATCTGAAATATTGCATATTAATATTATGTAGTCTTTATCCAGCCAGCAAGTAGAACTCTAGACATTTTTTTACTTTGTTAGCACTGTATCCTTTTCAGCTGTACTGAAAGAAGTATGATATTTATAGAACTCAATGAGTCATCAGTGCATTGACTTATATCGAAACAGATGAGGTTTCATTTAGACTGAGGTAGCTCAGAAGCACACTGTTCTGCTGTGCCGTCTTTTTGGCTAATCCATAGTGCTCTGCATCATGCTTGTCATGTATTACATGCTCGATGTTAAACAAAGATTGTAAATGTTGGGGAAAAAAAGAGTCAATTTCAACCGCTAAATTAAAATTGGCCATTACATACCATTACAGATTCCCTTTAAAAGATAACTAGAATTGTTTAGTGCAGTCACTGGTAGAAATGATGTTAAAATGAAATATGGCAGTGTCACCATTATTGGGGGTATCAGAAGATGGAACGGGTAGTATACATCACTATGCCAGGATATGGAACTGGCCAGCATTTTTCACAATGTTACAACAATGCTGTTACTATAGGTAACAGCACATCACCTATCACTGTATGAGAATACAATGTGCCACAATATGTGAACCCATGCACACCTAGTCCATTATGTCCCAGGAATTAAACATTGTATTTGAACTTATTATAAGAGAACTACTGCCAGCACAATATCACAACACATGCACATAATATCATATACAATGTATGCTTATTTCCAGGTATAGTAAGCTGCAGTAGCAGCTTCACACTATGGGGTCTATTCACGAAGCTGCCGTAGGATCTGGCCGTAGCTTCGGCCGATCCTTCGGCTGGTTTCGGCCCCAGGACCCCTTCGGTTCATTAGGGAAAAGACAAAACTGCTGCAGTGCCGGTATAAATTCTAGACGCCTAGATGGTTGACCACAGACCTACAGGAGCCTTCCACATACACATTCCTATTGGCCTATCACTATGATGGGCAGCCTCATTGGCCAATAGAAATGTGCAGGAGGCAGGAAGGCGTGAACAAGCTTCAGCTGAAGTTTTGTCTGTCAGAGCAGCCAAACATTTAGCCATTACAGCATGGACTAGGAAGCTGCTGCAGGTACAGTATATGCAGGCAACTCTAGGGGGTCTATTCACGAATCTGCCGAAGGATCTGGCCGTAGCTTCAGCCGATCCTTCGGCTAGCTTCGGCCCCCGGACCCCTTCGGTTCAGTAGAACAGCTCCCGATCGTGGCCGAGCGGCTCAAATGAAATTTAAAAAACCCAGCTTCCTGCACCTTTTAGCTTTTGATGGGGTAGCGTTCATTGCTCTGTTAGGTTTTTTTTTGTCGTCATCAAGACACAGTGAGTGTTGAAAGTGAAAAAAAGGTTTGAAGTCTGTGAGGCTCGACTAACTTTGTCTCCCATCTAGGAGAAGTCTATGGGGTGGTAATGCACCTGTGCAACCAGGAGAGAGAGGACCTGTGGTGCAGGTAAAATAAATGGGGTAAGCTGTGGCAGCTGGATCTCGGTGAATATAGATGAATGTAGAGGGGAAGGTGAGATTGGTTACCTTAGAACAAAAGGGTAAAGGAATGAGAGCTTGGGGAAAACTCTGTGGTGCCCCCTTCCGTTGGTGCCCTAAGCACATGCTTATTTTGCTTATTGGTAATCCAGTCCTGCTGCATTTTACTCGGGACAGGACCTGAGCGGGAATCTCCCCAGTTGAATTATATACAACAGTAAAAGCCTGACAATAGTTCTAGGTTGAAAATGCTTTTTCTTTGCTTTCTGTATCCCTGCTGGCCATTTTCAGTGACCAACGACCCTGGAACAAAAATTAAGGGAAATCATTCCCAGCAAAGGGCACAGGCTTCATTTCCAACCCTTCTCCAATCTATCCAGTTTAAACCACATGCAACACCCCTAAGTGGCTAGATTAGTAGCCAACTTGCTTAAATAATTTCAGCCATGTTTTAATTTTGGCGTAGGGCAGAGTTAATAGCCTGGGTTTACAGTTCAATCTGAATTTAATCCAACACAGTTGATTATTCTTGGTGTCTCTGACATGAATGTTAACAGAATTTTACAGTAAAAAAAAAAAAAAAAGCAGTAGTAAATCTACCCTTCCACAAGTGCCACGTCTTTATGCGGTCACTTCACCTTGTTCCTGATCCCTGTGCCAGACAGTGACATTACCTCAGCCCAGTCATGCCGACACAAACCATTCACACTTCTCAAATTAGAAATGCCTTCATA